TACGGAGTTTCCCCAGGACAGTTTTGCACAGATTTAGTAACCTGAATCAGCCCACGGAAGGGAACATGGAGTACCAGAGACAGCACAATGTGAAGGGGTCAGGGGCAAGAACAAGGTGGCCAGGAAGAGGACCTTACCCTTTGGAAGGCAGCAAGCCTGCGCAGTCGTTCTGCTGTCAGAGACACTGAGAGAGGCAGTTTCCAGGATGAAATTAATTGGTAGCCATCACTGCCACGAGGGCAAAGCCTTGGCCCTTAGAGTGGGTGGAAAGGCACTTCAGCTGTTAAACTGCCAGTTTAATGCAAACCCTGTATTTGAAATCAACAGCAGAAGCAGCTTGGAGTGGGGAGAACAACACGCTAGGTCAGGGAACATCTTCTGTTGTAACTCGCATAGCTGGAAAAAGAACCCCACATCTTTAAAAAGCATAAGGAGTTTCCCAAGTCTGAAACAGAAGGTCACAGTTGTGTCTGTCTGGGGGGCATATGTTGGGGGAGCAGGAGAGGAGGCAGTGCATAATCAGCATAACGTAGTCACACAGAATTCCAAACGCTCCCAGATAAGTTTAATGAAGGCTCTGACAGCTTCTGTGTTGGAACGTCTTCAATTCCCATCCAGTGTTAAGAGGTATACAGAACCTGGTAGAGTAAAGAGTTAATCTTTTCATAGCATATGATGGAGCTGTTTGAGCTTAAAAGGTACCACCTACACTTAAGGGGAGAGGTAAATTAAAGCACGCTAATATAATTTGGCTTGAAGACTTATTTCAAATGCCTGGATTCATATTGTCCCAGAAAAGTTATAGTAAGAAAATCCGAAAAATTCCTATGGAAGTGATGTGAAAGGTATTTTCGTGTGAAGGGAATCACAAGAAGCACACAAGAAGCAGCTTCTTTTTTTTTTGGGCGGGGGGGGGGCGGGGAGGGGAGTGGAGGGCTAAAAGAAAATAAAAAGGCAAGCACCTTGCCAAGAAAAACAGAACTTGATCTACAGCAGGAGAAAGCTAGGGGTGACACAGGTAAGGCTGGTAAATGAACAAAGCAGTGAAGAACTCTGGTTCCTCTCTTCTAAATACAAAGTTGAAGTGACTTGTTTATTTATGCCTTTTTCACGAAGCTCCCATATAATTGCCACTCAGAAAAGAGCCGAGGAATATGAGTCAAGAACACACCCAAGACACATAGGAAAACTAGGCATGACACTAAGTAGCAGGAAAATCCTTGCAAAACTTCACTTTGTATGATGTCATCCTCTATCCACAAGGTTTGGGAACCCAAACGGAACCCAAACATTCCTGTTCAGAGTATGCAACAAAGAAGCAAATCACACTTTACAAACTACAATCTGGGGTTTATAAATCCTGCCAAGATGCTATAAAATATCGTTCAAATACTGTGTTGTATCAGGCTTAGTCTACTTGAGAATTTTACTGTTACTTTGCTTGATGTGCATGTCCCCCTATACTTCAGTTTGAAAAGATCTCATCTGAGATACAGCAACACGGGGCAGGGGGTGGAGCAAAACAAAACCCTCAAACGCACTATTTATTTTATATACTAATGCCACCCATCACCTGAAGCACCGGACTTGTTCAAATCGGACACAGGAATGAATGTGCAGCAACCACTGTCTTGGCAAAATCCTGCTTATACCACCCAGAGAAAGTACCCCATTGGTCCTGCTTTAAATTCTTAATCTGTGATTGAATTCTTACCATTTTCATCACTTCATCAGGAAAGCACATGCTGGAAATCTACTTGGGCACAAGGGTTTCGAGTGGCTGATCTGATATAACCTGCACAATCACTTGACCCAATAATGGAACTACAGTCCTGCTAATGGAAGGACATTGCCAGGGATGAAACAGCAGGCCAGCCAAATCAGCAGCAGGACACTGCTGTATAAAACCAATTCTAAAATGAAACCTTTGCCTAATGAAAGCAAAGTTTCTACAGGCCAGCTGTAGGACTCATTTGTGGATGGTTGAATAAAAGCCTTCATCATGTATATTTTGTCCCAGGAGAGTAATATAAGGCTACAGATTTAAAAAAAAAAAAAAAAAAAAAAAAAAAGCAAAAAATGAACAAAAAAACCCAACCAACCAAACAAAACAAAACAAATGCACAAGCAAACATCACGTGAAAGATCCATCCACAGGACCTACACACTGCCTGTGTGTTGCTTTGTGTGAGTGATGTTCCCAGCAGAAGAGATAAGCCCCTCGAACAGGAGGCCGAGCAGCGTGCAAGACAAACTAGCAGAACTGTGTTATAAAGAGTCTCTGTACCAAGCGTTAGACTTGGTCTTCTTTGGGCACACCACCAACAGAACCCAGAACTCAATCTGTAACGACAGCAACAACTTGAGCCAAACACCACACCATTTAATTTGATGTTTTGCAACTAAAATTGTTTGTAAAAAAAGATTCTTACTCATGAATGCTGAATATTTTAAAGAATAAATTATGTAAGCATGCATGTAACTCTAATTGAAAAGGGACATATCTCATTTTTCTTTACTCTCAACACCCGGGCAAAGAGAAAATAGATGTCTACCAACGTAGATTAATTTGAAGGGAAAATTCCTGACAGAATGAATGCCCCTTAGTAGGGACATGGATTTGTTTAATCACATGAAAAGTAAAACTTGCTGCTTGTTCTCTGTGTGCGCGCACAGGACATTTCAGTATTTCCTTGTTTTCTTTTAGAAAACAGCATAAAGTCAGAAAAGTATGTTTATGTAACCACATTTTAAAGCAGTCCAACTAATTAGTTACGTGATCTGAAAAAAATTATTTCCTCTTAAAACTGATCTTCCTTCTCCCCAGAGCAACTATGTAAGATTAACTTTTAACCTACAAAGTGTCACAGTACTCTTAACCAGAACTCTCCTAGTTTACATTTTTTGTATAAAGCAACATACAAGTGACTACAAAAAACCCAAAGGACACATGAAATGCAGTTGCCACAAAGTTTCAGAAAGTCCTGGTCATCTCTCTTGGAAATATCTACACCAAGATGACATCAATCAAGTGAAGGTTTGAAGCAGGAGTTGGTATCTCTGTAACAACTACCCAGCAAGAAGGCTAAAAGAAAAGCTTTCAGAGACTATTCCTTCAATTAAGTGTTATAAAGAGCTTTTTTTTTTTTTTTTTGTATTGTTTTAAGGCAAAACTACAAAGAATATGGTAGTCAAAACTTTATATTTCTCATTTGTTATTTCAGATCCCAAAACCTTTTAAATTACCTAAATGTTTTTTAAGATTTACTAATTTAGAAAAGCACAGAAAGAGAGGGAGGCAAAAAGACCTGATATAGGGTACAAAACATATACAAATCTACTTCTGTTTTACACAAATATCAATTGTCAGGCAAGGGGAAGAAACAGAGAAATGAGTTTACAGATATTTAGATAGGAAAAGCTACCAGTGAAAATGAGAACAAGACTTATTTTTCATGACGTGCTCAAATTACAAACTCAGATAGTAAGATCCTAAAATGCTTCCAGATACAAGCAAAGAAAAATACTTCTCATTAGACTTTCCATAACTGCAGGTCAGTAATACCGACAGACACGGGTATGTTGGTTTTGTTTTCAGAGCTTTTTAGAAGAGATTTAGATTCCACTTGGTTTCTTTGGGACAAGTATGATGAGTTTTGGCCTTCTCAGCTTCTCATAAAAAAAGGAGGCTATGTACAGTAAATCCTTAACAGATCTAATATAGTCAATTATTCTAGCTTTCCCTATACTTAAGATGGTTTACTTCAAAATTTAAAATCCTCCTCTTTTCCTCCTATTCAGGAAGTTTATCCATTCTCCCTGCAGCCCCTCAGACACAACTGAAACCAACAGCAGCCCCCAAAAGCAACAAAAGATACACAGGAAGACAATAAAGGATCCAGAATAAGTCTGTACTTTGAAAATGTTTCAAAAGCTGTAGTGGCTTCACAGGCTGAATAGCTATGAATCAGAATTTATATGAACAACCTGAGCTGAGCTCTTTGTCATGGGGCTTTCTCACCAACAATAAAGTGCTTTGTAACCAGCAGCATCAGGCACATCAGGAATTTGCACAGGACTCGTGTGGGACCTGTCTGCTGCCCGTCCCCTGTGCCTGCTGGCCCCCCAGTTTCTGCAGTGGGAGGCAAAGGGGGAGCCCTGCTCCACCCCCCCAGAGAAGACACCCGTGTCCCTCTGCTGCATGACCCTGCTGACCTACTGCTCTCACCTCACAGAGATTTCCTACATGGCAATACTAAGACTGCACAGGGCTTCAAAACTTGGTGACAAGCCAGATGCAGGTAAATCACATAAAAGAAAGCATGACACTAGCTAAAAATAAGAGAGTAAATTCAGGACATACTCAAACACGTGTCATAAGCCTTTCTTGTATGTTCAGCTAGCCACACGAACACAAAAATAGAGATTACAGTCAGAAAGCAGGAATGGGCTAATTAAATTTAACACTTTAAAGAGCCATCACAGAGTCTGTAATTTAAGGGATGACAATACAGTGATTATAGTGCTCAGGAAAAAAAAAAAAAAAAAAAAGTAAATAAACTCCATCTATAGTGAAGCAGAGCTGTAACTCCACGCCACTAACGCGACTGAGAACAAACGAATAAAAGTCTACACATGCTATTTCCATGCAGCGTACACACGGCGAGCGGCATTTATATTCTCCCAGGTCTATTCCGCAGCCTCCCCGCTCCCAACTCTGGCGAATCATCGGCCACCGGATTAAAACCGCCAGCAGAAGGAGGGCGAAGCCCAGCTGGCCGGCCGGCCGGCCTCCGAGCCCGCCGCTCCGCCGGGGCCGGCGGCTTGCGTGGAGGCGGTCCCGCCGCCCGCGGCGCTGCCCCGGGCCCCCCGCCCCCCCGGGTCCGGGCGCCCCCGCCCCGGCGGAACTGGCAGGCCGCGGCGGGGGGCGCGACTAGGCCGGGGCGCCGCGCTACCGGGGCTCTCTCGCCGGCGGGGGCCGGGGAGGCAATGCCGCTCACCTCTCCTTGGAGTACAGCTCCCGCTCCAGCCGCCGCTTGCGGATGAAAGCCATGGAGGGCCTCGCTGGTGCCGCCGCTGCCGCAGCAGGCCAGGCCGGGCCGGGCCGGGCCAGGCCGCGGGGAGGCGGGGAGAGCGGGCCGCCCCGCCACCGCAGGGCAGGCAGCCGGTCTGGCGGGCCCGGCTGCGGGCGCCCGCCCCGTTTATACCGCCGGAGAGGCGGGGGAAGGTGTCACAGGCAGCCGGAGAAGGGAGCCTCGTGGCACCGGGGGCTCTGCGCCCTCCCCCGGGCTGCGGCGTTTCTGCTGCCCTTCAGGGCCTCCGGGGAGACGGGGCCTGGGCTGGGCAGGGGCCCGCACCGCGGGAACGCGGCCGCCCACCCACACCCCTCCCTCTCTTCCTTAAAGTTTCTGCCGGTTTGTGTGTGTTGTTGCTGGCGGGGAGGTGCCACCCGTGTCCGCGGCTCACGGCAGAGGAGGCTGCGTGTGGAAACGCGGGGCGCCGGGCGGCCCGGCCGCGGCCCGGGGCGGCCAGCGAGCGTAATGCCTGGGCCGAAAATCGTCCTCGTGTGCGCACGGAGGGAAGTGTACGCTTAATGACATAGCAAAAGGGGCAGTGTACTGGCATTTATATAAAAAATGTAAATATAACGCCGTTGCAGTGACTTCCTTCTGCCTGTAAGGTGTGTGACCGATGCTGTCCGGGCAGGAGGTGAAGTTCTGCCAAGTGTTCAAAATGTGAAAAAACCTCTGCGGAAAGGGGAGGTAACTAAAATCGTGTTTACTGACACAGTCTCTTGTGAGATAGAAAAATACTATGTGCATTTTTATAAGTTAAAAAATTATTCACAGAGGGGATGTAATTTTTCACATAGAAAAAAAAAAAAAAAAGAATTATAGGTTTATAGGCCTCAAGAGATTGTCTAATCTAATCTCTGCACTGGGGCTGAATCATGTATATGTTGATCAGTGTTACTCAAACATTTCCAGTTTGTGGACCCACAAACATGAATATGAGAAGTGTTGTATATACTGAGAAGAGGCTTGCTTTTGCTGATTTTTTTTTCAGAGACCTCTTAGGAGTAGTTCACAGACTCTAAGGAGGCAACATCACAGCTTGAAAACCAGTGATATCATCTGTAAGACCTATTTGTCTAATCGATTTGTAGAAGCACCTGTTTGAAGGAAATCTGCAACACTTGTATGTAGCTTGTATAAATGCCTAACAGCATTTATGAATGTGTACTTGTCCAATATCCAACCTGAATTTTATTTGCTGCATTCCTTGTTGTCATACTGGCAGTGGAAATGGACGAGATTTGTTACATTGTTCAGACAGGTTTTAATAAATACGTGTGTGTAAATATATATGTATTTATACAGTTGTTTATATGTGCAGATACTATATAATCTCACAGACTAAACAATTTTGTTCACTTTCCTCATAGACTGCATTCATAAATGATTTATTATTATAGCTTTACTTGTGACTTTCTAGCATGATTTTTTGTCTTTATCTTAAGGTATAAGACCCCTTACAGCAGTCCAATTGAGGGATCAACATTGAGGGATCAACAGCAGCTGAAGTGCAGTACTTACGTCCCATGTGTTACACAAGAGGAATGTCCCAGAAATAGCTTGCTTTTCTTCTTGTGACAGAAGCTTTTCTTCTTGTGACAGAAACTTCCACTCTGAACCTTTTCTAACATATTGCCACCTAGTTCTCCCCATTTTATGCTATATTTTAAAATTTGTCTCAGGTACAATGTTTTGCCTTAGCCTTGGTGATTTCATCCTGCTAACTTTAGACATTTATCCAAATTATGAAACTAGTTTTGAAATCTGATTCTATCTTCTAACTCCCAGGTTGGTGAAAAACATTTTTGCATATATCTGTATTCTGTTGCATCTTGCAGATGACTAACTGAAGTATTGAATAGAACTGAAATGACAACAGATCCTTACAGGTTCTCACTTGCAAATGCTGTCCAGGTTTGATTTTTGCAAGCAGCGTGCCAATTGGTTGGTGGTTTCATGAAAACTATTTCCTTTGCTTTTTTGTTTTAATGAAACTGTCATGGGACAGCATCTAAATGATACCAAACTCAAGGTCTATGATACTTACTGTTTCTCTTTTTCTACTGAATCAGTGAAACTGATTGTAAAAAGGGGTATTAGACTAGAGTGAGAGCATATGTTCCTGACAAACTTAGGCTAACCGCTTCATTGTGGAATTTCTTCTGGAATATTTATTGGGATCAAAATTAATCTGGATAGTTTTGGACCTGCTTTCTTTAGATAGACACATGTTAGCCGTTTCTAGTCTCCTTGAACCTATATAGTCTTTTAGCAACTCAGAAATTATTTTTGCTATATTATTAGGTAAAATTCTTCAGGCCCTATTAACTTGAATATATACAATTTAAATACTTTTTAACTCATTCCTTCTCTAAATTCTATGGTAAGATAAATTAACTGAGTATCTGGGCACTTCTAATGTATTTCCAGAACATTTTCTTGTTGCCCTTTATACCCTTTTTAACTGTCACTCATTTTGTACTGTAGGCTTTGTAATTTTATTCTTTTATTCATATTCTTTTATGTTACTCTTATGTCACTTTATTGTGATTTTTTTTTTTTCCAAATCCTTGAAGAGCTCTTAATGTGATGTTAACACAGTCTACTTAAGCTTCCCCTGCTTCCTTTTGTTCACATCAAGATAGCCTGCTATTGTATGGTTAATTAAAAATGAGTCTATTGTTCTCTGTAGAAAATCTAGGTTAGCTTTAAATGACTGAGCTCAGGCCTAGACCATACAGAAAGGAGGTTAATTAACTCATATAGAATGGCATGCTGTTATGATGAGCCTGCTTTTAGTACCTAGACTAGCTTGATTAAAGCTAGTTTAGCTATTTCTATGTAACAATGCAATCCACAGTTGGCAGTGCAGGCTTGCTTTTTCTTCCTTTTTTTCTTAGAGTAGGGAAGCCTATTTTGGTGAAATGTGTCATGATCACTTTCACCCAGTTTACCTTCTGCTTTTAAAATCAAAATGTGCTCCTCCCTACCTGTCATGCAGTTTGAGTTGGTAATGCCTCTCATAACTTCCTCTGTTACAAGAATTTGATGGACCTTTTATGTCCTGCCATATTATTTTCTAACTGATATTCGAGTAATTGAAATCCGCTGTTATCTCATGGGCAAGCTTTTTGAATACCTTTATTAGTTGCTCAGAGTAAGAAAAAGTATCCACTTCCTCCTTTTGAATACAGCTATAGACTATTACAAAATATAGACCCCAATCGTGACATACTTTTACTTCCCCCATTTTATTTTCACCAAGAACAGTATCTTTTGTCTCTTCCTGGATTCAATACAAAATGAATCATCCTCCCCTGATTTCCTGTGCCCATTTTCCTTTAGCATTCTTATACACAACTAGCACTGAAGTGTGCCACCATATCTCTGGGATGATAGTAAACCCATATATTTTCCATAGGTTGACTGGATCCCTGGCATTTGACTTCAAATATCCTAAGATGTTTTCCATTATTTTCTTCTGTCTCTTAATGCCTACGCCTTTATTCTCTCTTCCTCTCTAAGATTCCTGATTTCAAGCTCTTTAAGTAACTGGCCTCTTTCAAAGCCCCTTTCTAATGTTGTTAAAAGGTCACCTCCTCATGTCTGTTGGTCACTGTCCTCAAATGATCTTTCCTGTCCTTGTTGAATGCACATCGTATCTTCCCAATAATATTATGGAGCAACACCCCATGGTCGAGTAGTTCAGACTTACTGCCAAACCATCCACAATATCGTGCCTTTAACCCCAGTATTTGTCACAGAGTAGCCAAAACTCAATCCTCCCCATAGAGGTATTAGTCTTTCTTCTGTCAAAGTGCTGTTATAATCCTGTCAGTCTGGCTAGTTTCCTCCCTTCTAGATTTGTGCCAGAATATTGCTAATGATGCTGTTGTCTTCACTTGTATTTTCCAGGTAAGCACCTCTGCCCATTTTCCTTTTCCTGAAGAAACTGGTGGGGAGCAGATGATTGAAAGAATCAGAATGACAACACCTAGAACCATTATATTTTCACGCTGGTAGTGCCACCTTAAATAAATAAAGGGTTCAACTCAGGCAATGCCCACTTGTCAGCCCAAGCTTAAAGATCTATGTAGCTTTTTCTCTGAGGAATGGGGAAGTACATATGAATGTATGTTGCTCAGTGTATACATTAATGTAATTACGAACATAGGATTCATGTCTCGGGTTGTGCTGGGTTTCTGTGGCAGGGGTTTTGGTAGCTCCCTTGGCTCCAAGTCAGACGCACCTCTACACCAAGGTTGATCCAGTTAGTGATGGTGGACACACCTTTGTGATAATGTATCTAAGAAGGGGAATCAGAGAGGAGGAGTTGGGAGGAGGACTTGTGAGGAGGACACCTATGTGAACACCAAGGTTAGTAGAAGGAGGAAGGGGGGAAGGTGTGCCAGAGCAGAGCACCTCTATATCCCATGGTGAGTTGGCTGACTGTCCCTCTGCCACCCTTGGAGGCCCACGGTGGAGCAGAGGCCGACCTGAAGCCTGTGGAGGAGCCCACAACAGAGCAGGCGGCCGCACTCAAAGAAGGCCGGGATTCTGAGGGAAGAAACAGCCCCCGCTGTTGTTGTTTGGTGCTGGGAGGACTGCAGCACGTGGGGGTGACCCACGCGGGAGCAAGTTCTCGAAGGACTATCTCCAGTGAGAGGGGAACCATGTGGAGCAGGGGAAGAATGGGCGGCGTTCCCCTCCCTCTCCCAAGAAGGAAGGAGCGATGGACTGATTGTAACCCCCATTCCCTTCCCCCTGCGCCACTGGAGGGGAGAAGGTAGAGAGATCAGGAGCAGAGCTGAGCCCAGGAAGAAGGGAAGGGTAGGGAGAGGTGTTTTTTGGATGTGGTGGCACTTCTCACTGTCCCACTTTGTTAAGTGTTGGTTTTGTTAGTGTTTGAATTAAAGTGATGTTCTTTTTTCTTCCCTTAACAAGTCCGTCTTTTGCCATCCCTCCCTGTCCTTATCTTGATTCCCAGACTTTTGCTTCATTTTCTCCTTCCCAGAGCTGGGGAGGAAGGGGGAGTGAATGGTGTGGTGCTCAGTTCCCCTCTGGGTTCAAACCATGATGGCTGTAGTGTTATACTTACTGTGCTGGCAGTTTTATTAGGGAAGGTCTTTACAATAGTGGGTTTCTGGCAAATATTCTTCAGGGTGTTTATCCAGTAAAGCTTTGTCTTCCAGGTACCTAAAAAGCCTTTGTGAAATACAATGCTCAAGGGTTCTGTGTCAATCCGTACTATTATACTGAGAATTTTTAGACATGCTCAGAATAGGCTTATCCTCAACTGTTAAGTCAGTGGTGAAGTTCCCACTGAATTGTTGGGAGCGTAAAAGACTCCTGAGTATATTTCAAGGATCCATCCAATAATATATTTATTCTTCAAGGTATGTCAATGGCCAACCCGTGACACATTAACCAAAAGCAAAGCTACTGAAGAATACTTTATCTTACTGTTAAAAGAACTAGTCAGAAAACAGAAGCACATTCTTTTAATGGAAAATAACATAGTCACCTCCCACTGTTTTTCAATTACATTTAAACTATTTAAAATAAGTTTGTGGTTTTGTAAAGTTCGCAGTTTTTTAAAGATACAAATGAATAGTTTTGCTTTCAGCCAAAATTTAAGGTAGGCTAAATTCTGCAAAGCAGGTGCTAGCTCTGAGTTCTTTGTGGCATACAGAATCTTTTCATGGTGTGTGTAATCACAGCCTAGAATAATAGATCCTTAACTGGTACATCTTGCTCCTACCACAATATCAACAATAGAATCAGCATCAGCAACAACGATTAGATGTGCCATGGCTTACCCGTTGCCCTGATCTGAATGATGACTTGGAGGTACATGCAGAAATTGCACTAATTTAAAAATAATCATATGAAGTTTAAACTGATCGTACCATTGCAAGCTCTGGTGTGAACACATTTAAGCTAGTTTGTAATCAGCTTATTCATACTAAATTCTGCTAAGCTTTTTTGAGCTAGTTGTAAATTAATTTATATGTGTACACAAGTCTGTAAGTGATTTAAAACCAATTTTAATTAAACCAATTTTTGTCAATAAACCAATGCATAATTTATTGTTTTACCCGGAGCAAAAGAATCCTAGAGGAAGATTTTCAGTGTCAGCAACAGCTGTTCTGTAAGTAAAACCATGAAGGCAAGGAAGAGAGAATTTTGGACAATTATTTTACACATCAATTTAAATTGACAATTTTACATAAAATTAATGTTTCTAGTGAAATCCTTCTGAACTACACCCATGATTAAATGGAGTCCTTGACTGTAAATTGTTTTT